ACTTCAGCCCAGCTAGCACCTTCTCTCACATCTTCAGTCCTCAGGGACTATTTCAATGCCCATAGGCTCACAACTCCTTGCACTTCAGACCAGCCAGCCCTTCCTCTCATCCCCAGCCTCCATGGCCTAGGTCAAAGAGTACTAAACTCAGCCCGTGTCTTCTTTGCTGCTCTTCCCCCATTTCCACTCAAATGGACCCAGGTGGTCACATGTGAGTAGCATACAGGCTGACTGCTCGCTGGCTTCCTTTACCTTTCAGTCCTGGGAGGGGTGTCTCTCATGAACCATGACTTTCCTGCCTTGATACACCCAAAGCCTAAATGCTTGCTCAAAATTCAAAAAACCAGTCTTTTTTTTTTTTTCCCCCAGGTCCTTTCTTCAAATGCAAATCTTCCGTTCCCTCAGTAGTACTGGGTGAAGCTCAGGTTTTCTACCTAAACTCCTAGTACTCTCTACACACAGGGTTTAAAACAAAAGCCTGCATTTCTTCTGGGCAAATTCTATCTTCTTTAAACATATCCAATCAAGTATCAGCTGAAGGCAGATTTACACGCTGTCTATTATCCACACCCCATAATCATTTCTAATGTACAAGCATGTAGGAGACATTCAATACCCATAGTACATTCAGGTAAACACATAATCCAAAAAATATAATCCTTTTTAAGACATTTGGGTTCGTTTCTTCACCTTGATTACAATCCCATTCTATGCATATGGCCTTGGGCCTTTGGCTGGGTGTAACCAAAAGCCCTAGCCTCTGGATCAATTACTTTAAGAGGTAACACCAAACAAAGACCATCGAGGAATCCAAGGTTTCACTTCCCAGGCCCCTTCCTTCTTTTACAAAGTCTCATGCTTCTATGAGTCTGGAACCACTGCAACAAATCCCACCGCTTCTGACACCAACTGCTAAAAGGGCAGGGAAGCACCATCTTCTGACCTCCTCTGACCATACAAGAGGAAGACAGAATTACCATCAATAGCCCAAGGCCTATTCCTGTGAGGCCAGACATGCTGCCTCCCTCCAGCCCTTTCCCGAACCCTGACACCAACCGTTACTCCTGCAGCACTCACTACCTTTCTGCTGGGTTCGATAATTCACTGCAGTGGCCACACAGAACTCACAGATTATGGGGTTTATTAGGGAAGCACCAGGCTACAATTCAAGTTCAGCAAAAATGCTCAGTCTCTCTCAGCCTACCGTCTCTCAGCCAACAGTCTCTCACAGTCTTTCTCCTAGCAGTGCATGTCCCTTGGTGTCTAACTCAGCAATGAGTGTCTCTTGCGTCTCTTTCCCAGGAGCGCATGTCTCTCAGGAGTGTGTGTCTCTTTCAGCAGCACATCCTTCTCAGCCAGCAGTTACAGCGACTTCTGCTTCTAGGAGGCCTCCTTTTGAGCCTGACAGAGTGGCCAAACTAGCCAATCATAACATCAGAATTCTAAGCACCTTAGAGAGAGCACAAACCTCCCAGAACATTGCTTTGTGCTACTCCCAACAGAAATATCCCAGGTGGACAACTTTAATGATCAGGAGCCACTCAGTTAATTGTTCATGGCAAATTCCACCATGGAGTTCACAAAGACATGGCTAGAAAAGCCATACCAAGTAATTTACTACCCTGCACTGCTTTATAGGGAGGGGACCTGAGAAGATTAAGGGAGGAGAAGAGGAGAAACACAGGTGGATCTTGATGTTAATAGAAGTTTGAGCCAGAGAAGATGGAGAGTGTGTTGAAGCCACAAGGATGAGGTTTTCAAAAGGAGAAGCTTGCTAACTCAGATCTAATGATTAGGTTGCCAAGTATAAAGAAATCCTAGGAGTTGTTCATGTTTAGGGACATCTTTAATCTCATCTATTTAACTCCCCACTTCTGTTAAACTAGTTGACATTAGACATTTCAAACAATAGTTTATCCCTTGATGTGCTTTGAGATGTCTTAAATAGGTTGGCTTTCTTAATTTAATCACAATTCATTGGAAATGAAAGATAAGCCATTAGTCTAGAACTAATTGGAACTTTCCACCCCAAGCTCTTCTTATAGCAATTCTGTGTTTTGAAGATAATTCATACTCAAAGCAGCCAAGAACCACTTTATTTTTCACTTAAATTCCCTCTTCACCGACACATTAACTAGCTCTGAGTTTTGCTGGAGTTGGTGTTGATTTTTTTTTTTTTTTTTGGTCTTTCCAAGTATATATATATATATATCTTTGGCTTAGGATGTGTGATCTCTGAGCATGGGATTGATCAAGAGTATTTTGATTTTTAACATTTTCAACTATTTTCCCTCCATTTTTTATTTTTATAATGAAGTGAAAAGTATAATGAGCCAGGCTTTGCCTTTCCCTTTTTTAAAAAAAAGAATTCTAAGATATTGAAAGAAATATTTAAACAACCTTTATCATCGTAATACTATCTCCTTAGAATAAACCATGCCCCACTACCACTGAGTCAGTTCTCAGTCATAGAGACTCACATTGGGTTTCCAAGGCTGTAAATCTTTACAGAAGCAGAGTGCCTCATCTTCCATGGAGCAGCTCGTGGGTTTGAACGACCAACCTTTCAGTTAGCAGCCAAATGCCTTAACCAAGTCATATTTTACTCACAGTGACCCCATGTGTGTCAGAATAGAACTTTGCTCCATAGGGAGGACTTGAACTGCCAACATTTCAGTCAGCAGCCAAGTGTGTTAACTATTTGCTCTGGCCACAGAGTCCTCTCCTCAGAAGAGAATGTTATAAAGTCTGGCAGCACCAAATCGGAGAACTGACTGGAGAGAGTTTGTGTGAGGGGCTGCCATGCTGATCCTCTGGTCTCACAGGCAAAAGTGGCATCCCAGAAGCTGGTCTCACTGGCTTTTTTCCCTTTTGCCTTTCCTCTCATCAGCCGAGACAGGCTATTTATCCTGACTCTATGAGTTTTCCATAATTCTTCTCAGAACTGTGTCAGTCACTCCCCAGAGGGTCTGTCCTGACTGCAGTCTTCTTCATCCAGCCCATGTACCCAGATCATATTCTAACAACTACCATTCTCACATCTACCATTTATTTGCTTATTGATTTGGTGATCCACCTAGATTCTGCTGCCCACCCTCATTTCCAGTTTTGTCTCTTGTCCCTGTCTGCCTCCCACCTTGTGCTCAGGCTCAACAGACAGCTTGCCAGATCCAGACATTTATTGAATGATGTCTCCCAGAAATAAACAAAATACTGACAATTACAAAAGGACACCTGAGGCTGCTGATATGAGAAAGTCTTTATGTAGACCTTAGGCTTACCTCACTTAGGAAGTCTGTAGTCTTGAGAAACTTCTTGTTAAAAATGTATAGTAAATAGCCCGTTTGTATCTATTTACCCTCTGGCAAGTTGCTGTAACAGATTCTTAAGTTGTTAATGGTGGGCAGTAGTGTTCCCAGGTAAAATGAGAACTAACTGGAGTTCTCTTTCATTGTTGACACTTACTTTATTAGCTCTTAAACAACTTTATAATATAGATAATATTTAGTCTTGTTTTCAGATGAAGCAGCTGAGGGTACATTTTGCCTGTGTCCCCACGGTGCAGACTTGTCATAGCTGACAGTCAAGGCTAGAACTCTGCTCTTAGCTGGTCATTATGAACATTGATTGAGTGCTTCAGTGTCCTCGTTTCATCCCCTTAACCCCATTACAGACAATGAAATTGAGGCATAGAGAGGTAAGTACCTTGTTGAGGTCATAATTTGTAATTTGTAATGTGAATCCAGGATCATTTTCCTCTGCAGTCCAAGCTCGTATGTGGTTGTTAACTTTGTTTGTCTACTTCCAGTAGTTAACAAGAAACTCATAGTTTCCTTCTGATAAGCAGAAACATTCAGGGACTAATGATTTATATGCCTCTCATCCTTTTCAGATTGCCACTTTACCTGGTGTCCTTCTTTGTCAGTCTCTTGTTCCTGCTGGTGAATTTGACCTGCGCAGTACTGGTGAAGACAGGGACCTGGGAGAGGAAGGCCATTGTCTCAGTGCGTGTGGCTATCAATGACACACTTTTTGTACTGTGTGCTGTCTCTCTCTCCCTCTGTCTCTTCAAAATTTCCAAGATGTCATTAGCCAACATTTACCTGGAGTCTAAGGTATGGTGGAAATGTAGTGAAGGTCCCTTTCTTAAAATCTGTCCTAAACATGGTTTGGGAAGAGGACACAATCTTTTTCACACTTGATTGCCTATGGATGACAGACCATGATGTGGCTGCGAGCTACAACAGAGAAATGCAGTTAATTGAGCTTTGGGTGCAAGAAAAGTTTCCATCCAGATACCATAAAATATACTGTCATGTGCAGAACTACTGTAGAGAGTTCAATCTCTGGTGTATAAATACAACCATTTAAACTGCATTTTAAAGGACTAGTAGAATTGGTTATACCAATGATACTATTGACTGCTAACCAGAAGGCTGGTGGTTCAAACCCACCAGCCACTCCTTGGAAGGAAGGTTGGGCAATCTACTTCTGTAGTGATACTGCCTTGGAAATCCAAGGAGGGTTCGCTATGAGTCGGATCTGACTCAACAGCACATGAGAACAACAACAACGATATAAGGAAAAAAAAAAAAACACAAAACCTCACTGCCTTTGAGTCAGATCTGACTCATAGTGACCCTTCCTTGCGTTTTCGTGGTGGAAAGTATATTGTCTGATCTTCCTTCCAAGGAGTGGCTGGTGGGTTTGAACTGCAGCCTTCCGGTTAGCAGTCAAGTGCCTTAGGCACTATGCCACTAGAGTTCCCTTGATATTAAGAACAAGCACACATTGAATGTTCACTATGTTCTAGGCAGTTTTATAAGCATTTTACATGTATTAACATTTAATCTTTACAACTCTATATGAATAGGTGGTATTACTACACCTATTTTATAGGTAAGGTAACTGAGGCACAAAGAGGTCAAGTAGCTTGCCCCAGGTTACACAGCTAGTAGATGGTAGGGCCAAGATTGGGACTAGGAGAACTGGATCCAGGGCTTGTGTTCTCAACCACTCTTTGTGTTGCTGCAGACACTCAGATTAAGTCTGTGACTGGCTGTGCCCATAAGAGTGTTCTCCTCAGCAGTGGGAACTGCTCATGCACTTCAGGACAGTATTCCTCTTATACTGATTTTCATTTACAGACATGGAGCACATGATGTGGGAGGGAACCTCTTGGTTTTTTTTCACTGCTATGCTTCACATCTTAGAATCTCTTATTATCTACTTTCCTCCTCATCAGTTTGATCCTCCAGCTCTTCCTTCATTGAAAATTTCTGAACCTGAACCTGGAAGTGTAGTAAGAGATTGGCTGGAGGGGGCAGTGTGGAGTTGGGGAGCATATGCCCTGGGTTCTAACTGGCTGTGTGACCCTAGCCTGATAGTCAGGTCACCTCTCTGGCCTTGGTTTCCTCACTTGTCAAATGACAATGCTTTTTCTGGCTCCTTTGTTTCTAAATGGCAGTGGCTGCATGTCCTCTGACATACCCCTGTCCACTCCCTTTGCCATGTGGCCCATCAGGGTATAATATGTCTTTGGTCTAAAGGTAATGGGGTAGCTCAATATCCCACAATATTGTGTCTTTGGTAGTGATCTGTATATTAAAATCTATGCCTATAACTTCAAAATACAAAACCTTAATCAAGGCATCCTGTAATCTGACTGAATCTTTCAGAATCTGTAAAGTTAGAGGGACAGAGTGATTTTTTCATTTATAAATTTTGATAGTTTTTAGATTGATTTTACCTTACCTTTGTTTATTATATTTTCTCCCACATAGGAGGTATTTAAGACTTTAAAAGAAGATAACTATAGTTTTAACAGGAGGGGTTAAGTTGTAGATTGTAAAAATACTATTTAGATCACTGCTAAAGGCGCAGGGAGGCAGCATCTTCTGACTTCCAATAACTTCACAAGAGGAGGACAGAATCACCATCGGCAGCCCAAGGCCTATTCCTATGAGTCCAGACATGCCATCACCCTCTTACCATCCTTGACACCAACCGTCCCTCTCATGGCACCCGACACCCCTCTGCTGGGTTTGATAATTCACTGCAGTGGCCACACAGAACTCACAGATTATGGGGTTTATTAGAGAAGCAACAGGCTACAATTCAAGTTCAGGAACATGCTCGGGATAGAGTTCTTTGATCAGGACAGTCTACTTTCTGCTGTGTTCTTAGACATACTACCCTGGCCCTTGGCCTCTTGGCCTGGCCTCTGCCTCTATGGGCCAGGTAAGCCTGCCGCTCTGCGTCATGCCTCATGGTTCCACTGCCTCCATTTCACAGTTGGGTGTCAGTCTCAGCTGGCAGTGAGATTCCCCCTCTGCCTCTAGGAGGGCTCATTTTAAGACTGGCGGAGTGGCAAAATTAACCAATCCTAACATCAGAGTTCTACACACCTGAGATAGAGCGAGCAAACTTTCCCAGAAGATTGCTTCCTGCTGCTCCAAAAGAAATACCTCAGGTGAATGACTTTAACATCAGGAGTTTAAAAGCAGCTACTCAGTTGCTCATGGTGAATTCCACCACAGAATTAATTGCCAGTCTCATTATAGGAAATAACTACTACCAGCTGCCCAGCCAAGGTGACACATATTTACATGGTCCCACCCAGTAATCTAGTGAGAGTTACAAAGATTATGGCTAGAAAAGCCATACCATGCAACTCACTATGCTGCAATCACTCATATGGAAACAAGATTAATTAGCCACTACTGTTAAAATGAAATATCTTAGATTTAGTTAATGACTCCCATATGTAAAATGTGAAAATCAGATTAAGGTTTTGGTTTTGTTAACTATCTGTTTCTAGCTCATGGACATTAACTGCCTTTGGAAATTGATAGCTTCTTAAATTGGGGTATAAGTCACTGATTTCCAAGTAATTAAAAGCACTGGCTGTTATCCAAATCAGTTGCCATCAAGTGGATTCTGACTCAAGGCAACTCTATATTTGTCAGAATAGAACTGTGCTCAGAAGGATTTTCAATGGTGATTTTTCAGAAGCAGATCACCAGGCCATTCTTCCAAAGTGCCTTTGAGTGGACTCAAACCTCCACCCTGTCAGTTAGCAGCTGAGTATGTTAAACATTTGTACCACTGGAGACTCCTGAGTCATATTAGTGCTCCTGTATCTCCATTCTAGAAGACTCAGAACTTTGAGGAAGTGCTCTCTGCCCAGAGCCAGCATCAGCAGCACAGATATCGCTCCCAGCTGTCGTTTCTCTGAGATTGTTTACTTGTTGCACTGTAGCTAGAGGCCTAGGCACTTGGCTCACCTACTGTGATTAGAAGCTAAGATTTCCTCTCTGAGCTGAGAGGTGACAGTTATAGATTTAAAAAAAAAAAAATCTGCCTTTCTTGTTCTTAAAATCTAGGCCTTGGTCAAATGACCATCTCCCAACCAGGTCTCCAGGTTTTGAAGTGTCTGTATGAGGGTAATTTGAACCTTTGGGAAGGGATGTAGAATGAGGTGCGGTTTAGAGTAGAGTTAAGGTAGAGGGCTCTGACAGCAGATCAGATTGCAGTGACTCTGAGATCCCCAATGGGTTACCCGGTCCAACAAAAGGTGGCAAAGCCTGAAATGAGGCTGTGTCTTTAACCTTGAATGGGTACACCACTCATGGTCCTTCTGTTTCAGGGCTCCTCTGTGTGTCAAGTCACTGCAATTGGTGTGACCATCATTCTGTTGTATACATCTCGAGCCTGCTACAACCTGTTCATCTTATCATTTTCTCAGAACAAGAATGTCCATTCTTTTGACTACGACTGGTACAATGTATCAGACCAGGTCAGTGGGTTCATCATTAAGGGTATTACCTGCACAATGACCACTTGCTTTTCAACATTCCATGTTGTGGAGAGGTGCTAGCTCCTTATTTTAGTTGCTAAATAGCAGTGGGGCTGTGAGAAAGTCACTTCCTGATCTTTGTGGTATCTGCATCCTTATTTGTAAAATGAGGATCCTAGAACCTGTCTTGCCTGTTCCATTTCACATGTTGTCTAAGAAAACTAGAACACACACTTACACACACACACCCTACTCCACCTCACAAACCACACAGATCACACACAAGCCACACTCACAACCTACACGTACCATACACACACCACACCTACCACACACCACACTCATGCCACATATACACACTGTGTACACACACACACCATGCACTTGCCATACACATGCCACACACACTACATTCACCACATGTACACATCACCTACATACCACACACACACACACACACACACATAAATGAATGCTTCTTTCCACACCATTCCCACACAGGGAAGCTCTTCTCAGGCATTATACCCAAAAAAAGCAAAAATACTTCTTTGAGGGTGTGAAATTTGCAAAGATAAAGAAAATTGTACTCAGGTTTTAGAAATAGTTCTATAACTATGAACTGAGTTTTTTTTTTTTTTTTTAATGGAACATGCACACTAACAATGTTTGAAGAAATCTAGATAAAAGATGATTGAGAATATTTAGGTTTTAGTAAAAGCTCATTTCATTGGTAGTTTCAATATGATAGGTTTTTTTTTTTTTTTGAGTGCATTTTATAAATCCATAGGAAATTTCTTCCTTAGATGTATGGTAGAGTTTGCCATCAAAGCCATCTGTGCTTGGAGTTTTCTTTGTTGTATAATCTACAGAAAATTAAGTGTAAGGTTTAAAAGGTAATTTCTATTATATTCTAAATATAAAAAAGTTACTTATAAAGAAAATGAGCCAAGGTAGCAAACTTTATCTGGCATCCATGCCAACAAAAACTCATGTATAAGGTTCTAGGGGTATGAAAATGAAGAGACTTATTCCCTACCCTGTAGGAATTTACAGTACCTTGTGTGTGTGTGTGTGTGTGGGGGGGAGACACAAATAAGCCATTATAATAAAGAAATATGACTTCAATATTACGTGTCTATTAAACTGAATTGCAAAGGTTCCTTAGCATCTCCTGGAAATATACTGTTCAACTATATACAAATCCACTTCTAAAATCATAACAGTGCTCATAACACAGACTGAATTAAGTCTCTGGAAGAAAGAATAACTTTAAAATGATCATAATAAATTAAACAAACATATGAAGACAGGCTGACATTTAGAAGACCCAGGCAAGGTATTAGAAATAATTACAACCATCACCACCACTACCCCAATCCATACCAATACCCCAAATATAGGATGGGAGAAAGTTGGGAATGTACTGCTAAAGGTGTACCTTATTTTGAGAAAATCAAACATATTAAAATCTAACCTTCAACATTGATAAATTAGACCCTATTCATAATACAGAGATCTGTTGTTGTTAGGTGCGTCAAGTCAGTTTCAACTCTTAGTGACCTCATGTACAACAGAATGGAACTCTGACTGGTCCTGTGCCATCCTCACAATTGTTGTTATGCGTGAGCCCAATGTTGCAGCCGCTGTGTCAATCCCCCATTGAGGTTTTTCCTCTTTTTCCCTGACCATCTACTTTACCAGCATGATGCACTTCTCCAGGGTCTAGTCCCTCATGATAACATGTCCAAAGCATGAGAGGCAAAGTTTTCCCATCCTCACTTCTAAGGTGGTTTTAACAAAATATTTATTTAAATGTTTCTTTCAATCAAGAGCTCATGTTTAGAATGCATCTAGAATATGAACACAGTTTTTTAATTCTCTTTTTCTGGGGGATATTTATTTATGGATATATAGACCTGTGTTGCAATCAAAATAGGAGCCAGCAAAAACAAATGACAAATTAGAGGCAGTCGTGTAGAATGGAAAGGGAATCCCGTACTTGTGAGATGGTTGAAGATGAAATATGAGAAGCAAAGATTATGCTTCCTGAAGAGTAGCATGATTAGTTATGGTTACTGTACTTTAAATGTGATGGAGGAGGCAAAATGATTAATTTTAGGTGACTGGACCTTAAAGGCTTGGTTTTGGTGTATTTTCTTTCTTTGAAATAATGGTCGTAGTGACACAGTTGCCTAGACCCCAAGAACATCACACCTTCTTTGAGCACCCAAAGCCTGTACCAATCCCCTTTGACCATCTCACTGGTTCAGAATCCAAACATCTTGCAATCAGAATTCTTTTCTAGAAAATTTAGTTTGCAGTTTACTTCAAAGCTTAAAGAATTGGATATGGGTTATGTGAAGAAGTTTATAAATTGACACATTTGTTCTCAAAATGAGACTAAGAGGTAATAATTACATGCTGCTCCCAAGAATTTAGAAGGATACCACAAAACATTCTTGCTATTCATAAATTTTCAAAGAAAGAAAAGTTAGCTTAAATGTAAGTGGCAGATTTCATTTGGACATGTGTTAGACTAGGTTCTCTAGAGAAACAAAAACCAGCAAAGCTTATATATGCATAAAGAGAGAGAGAAATTTCTCTTAGGAAAATGGCTCACAAATGTATAGAAGACACAGGTCCAAAGTCCCTGGAGCAAACGTCAGGCTGGAGGCTTTTCCTAGCTTCCACAACTGCAGGGGCCGGGAAGCTCAAGGCTGGCAGGCAGTACACCACCTGTTGATTCCAACGAATGATGAATCCAAGATCTCCAGGAGGAACGGTGGACTGCTCACTCATGGAGAGTTGTAGGCAGCACAACAGAATCCCGATCCACAGAAGAATGTCTCTCTTCCCAGGATGTCCCTGGATATCCTGGAAGCAGGCCACACCCCTAGGGAAACTCCCCTTGTATTCATTGGCCACTCAGAACACAGTCATCTGATCTCATCATGGGAACAACCACAAGGAACTGGGGTCCAACCAAGTTGACACACAACTCCAACTGTCACAGGACATAAGGGACATATATTGGGGTGAAGTGATAAAAATATCAGATTGGGAGTTTCTTGGAATATTTTGAAGAAGAAAATCATCTGTGCTGTATGGTTTAAGTAACTCTTCTCCTGAAGTCTGGACCATTAATATTATCTGATTTCAATAAGCATATTTTAGGGGAAAAGAAATTATACTATATTAGAATTTTACTCTATTCACGTTAAATAGAATCAAATCAAATGTATTTCCTGTGCCCTCGGTCTACTGACTCTCCATTTCTCCCCTGCTTTTTAACAGGCAGATTTGAAAAATCAGCTGGGAGATGCTGGATATGTCATATTTGGAGTGGTGCTGTTTGTATGGGAGCTTTTACCTACTACTTTAGTAGTTTATTTCTTCCGAGTCAGAAATCCTACAAAGGACCTTGTAAGTAAAGCTATTTATGTTTGCAGAAAATATCTCCTAATTCTAATTGTGAAATACACAGTCAGGATTTTCTCTTAGCTTTTCAACAGAGAATAGTTGTCTACCTATTATAATATAAAAATTCCTATTTTATCAAGAAATTTTCTTTCCTTTAATTCTCATAGGAGTGAACTGTGTTTTTCTGTTTAGCTTCATTTTGCAAAAGAAATTAGAATAAGTTCCATCTCAATGCTGGGGAAAGTGATGAATTGCTTTCCTAATGTGACACAGCCTCACTAGTATTTGAACCAAGCAAGTCAAGTAGTCAAGTGTGGATGGTAAGATAATCATAGATAAATAAAATCCACACATAATTCACAATTTTTATACATATATATATATATATATATATATATCACAATTGTTATACCAATATATATATATATCTATATATCTATATATTGGTATAACAATTGTGAAATATATATATTTCACTGTGAGTACAAGCTGAAGAACACAGTAACTGCTAATAGAGTTGCTACCACTGCTTTGATTTGTGCTAAGGCAATAGCACAGTTTTATTCACCACTGTATTTGCACTAATGGTGCAATGAAAAAAGCAGATAATGTCTTGGTATAATTATGAAAATAGTTATGACCTTGCTGATTGGGATATTAGGGGCCCTCCAGGAGTCCATGGACCACATTTGAGAACTGTCAATCTATAATAGTATGTTTATTAAAATGATTCTCTTTGCTCTAAAGCACATGATCTCTTAATTTCCGTGGGAGTGAATTTCGTATAAAGTATGCATAGTCATATATAGAAAGACATTTTTCCTTTTTTTATGTTGCACCAATGAAGTAACTTCAAATTCTCTTTAGCAGGTAATTTGAGTTGGCAAATTTGGCTTGGCAAAGCACTGGTGTATATAAAATATCCTTGGGCAAGACTACCAGAGTTAATGCCATTGCTACATATGGAATTTGGTAATAATAGCTATCAATTATGTAGTGCTTATATATGATAGGCAGTGTTCTAAGCACTTCACAATTTAAAATTATTTCATCTGCATGGTAACACTATATATGTGTGTGTAGGTGTGTGTGTGTGTGTGTGTGTGTGTAGATTTAAAAAAAAATTTTTTTTTTTAAATGCTGCCTGTTGTTTGGGAGCTTAGCTGGTACCATTGATTGCAAATGGCTACATGTGCCCTCTTCAACATGATGACCTTTTGGTACTAGGATTCTTAAATATTAGCTGGCTTCCCCTAGAACAAACATCTCAAGAGAGCCTGGTAGAAGTTGCAAGGCATTTTTTGACTTATCCTTGGAAGTCATAGGGTATCATTCTACCACACTCAATTGGCCAAAGGGTAGAAACTATTATTATACTTACTTTTAATGAGGAAACTAGGCTCAGGGTCCCATGGCTAGTAGGAGAAAGAGCTAAGACTCAGACCAAGGCAGTCTGGTTTCAGAATTCATGGTTTTAATTACTGTGCTACACTGTGCCTTTCCCTGGCATCATAAAGTTTGGAAAAGAAGCTAATTCCTAATCAGAATCAGATACTAATAATCTTATTGCTTTCCATAACTTCTGTAATTACTTGGAGAAAGAAAAGTCTAATAGTCTTTTGGGGGAAAACTTATAATTGAGCTCATAGTCATTGACTTAAAAGTGCACATGCCCCCTACAATATTATCTACCACCTGTGTTAATAGTTCTGTTGGCACGAACAAGTCTTTGCCTTCTTCAGAGCGAAACTTCAGAGCCTGTGCACCAGTGTACTCAATATGGCTTCTTTTTTGTTCATCTTGGAACCCACAGGACACTTGGTTCAGGCTTAGATCTGAATCACTGGAGTAGGTTCTGGGAATCCACATTTTTAATAAGCTGTCCAAGAGATTCAAATGCACTGTCAAGTTTGAGAATCTCTCTTTAATTAATAGGCATTCTTGAACCCATACAACAGCCAGTTTTAAGGCATCCTACCTTGTGTAAATTCCACTTTGCTTCTTATTTTGGCTAGATTATTTTGTAAAAGCAGAAACTCCCATGCAGATACTTATCATCCAACTTCCTTGTTCCATACTCTACTGGTTAATTTTTAAACAAACCACTATTGATATATACAAGGATTTCAAACCAATGGTAGATTTTATATATATATATATATATATATATATATATATATATATATATATATATATATATATATATATATATATATTTGGCTTGCTATATAATACAGTCTGATCTTGTGTTCACTTGAAATCTCTCCTGACAGAGGATTTTACTTTTTTAGTAGTTGCTGGCCAAGATGCTTCTCTGATGCTCCAGGGCAGGTGTTATCCTGAAAGTTGGCGATGACCTCTAGGATCTACTTGAGGGCAGACACTTGACATTTTCTGAGAGGTGGACTTAGCTTGGGGGCTGAAACAGGATTAATTGATCATAGAGGCAGGATATGAAAACTAGATGAGAAACTCTCACAAAATGATTTCATCATTATTATTACATTTTTAATTTGTTATTAATGTCCATATTATTATATAGCTTTATATCCAATTTGGGACTGTTCTTACCTTAATGTGGCTAATTTGGACATTGTCTTTTTTTTTTTTTTAGGGATTAAAACAACGATTCTTTGTTGCATATTTAGCAAAAAGACCTTGATAAAAGATTTTATCCATAGTGATAAGTATTAGTCCCTTTTAAGCATAAAAACAATGAGCTGAACTCTTACAAACAGGTTATCATCTCCTTCCAATTAAGTAGATCATCTTAAGAATCCTGCAAGAAAGAGGTCTTATCTGTGTCTAGCAAAAGGCAAAGTGTCTGGAAGTGTGCTGAACACATAACTGTCTTTCTAGACTAACCCTGGAATGGTCCCCAGCCACGGATTCAGTCCGAGATCATATTTCTTTGACAACCCACGAAGATATGACAGTGATGATGATCTCGCCTGGAACACTGCCCCTCAGGGACTTCAGGGAAGGTAACACCTTAGCGCATGTTAGAGAGGCACCAGGGAAATAGGTTCAAAACTAAAAGAAAATTCCTATTAAAAAAACATGGAGCTGAAGATTTGTATTATTGGATCATTTTATAGTAATGAAATATTCAGAAATGAGAAAAGATGGACATCGAGTAAACAAAAGCACCATAGATTATTATATATAGTTGTTGTTGTTGTTGTTATGTGCCGTTGACTCATCTCTGACTCATAGTGACCCCTCCTTGGGTTTCCGAGGCAGTATCTCTACAGAAGTAGATTGCCCAGTCTTCCTTCCGAGGAGTGGCTGGTGGGTTTGAACCTTCTGGTTAGCAGTCAAGTGATATTCTATGGAACACTATTTCTTTAATAGGCATGCCTTATAAAAGGAAATGATGGTTTCAATAAAATTCAGGATTTTTTTTTTTTTTTTTTGGCAAGACTTCTCAGAGCCTGTATTATGCTAATATGTACTCTGAATCTCCAAGACAGAATTGCCCATGAACATGATTTAGGAGATGCTGGCACACTTCTTTAATTAGAAGTTCTAAAGCTATAGATGGGGAGCTCTGGTAGC